TTTCTGTTCACTTTGTCACAGGTAAAAGACGCAGCCGTCCCAGACTGACCGCTGCTCATCACCAGCTGAAGGCACACGAAGCGTTTCCTCTCGCTGTGCTTTCATGAGTCGTGATTTTTGACAAGAAGCCAGTTTAAGTTGATTCTCCATTAACTCCCCCCCCCCATTAAATATCAAAAACATCTGGTCTGTTATCAGCATCAGGCATTTTAATAATCTGGTTACTGGTCAAATTATTACTATTTTAAAACAGCAGCACTGGTCTCAGTCCCAATTAGAGCAAAGCAGTTTACTGTGGCCTAGGCTTGTCCCCTTAGTACGACAGTGAGGCCACAACCTCAGTACCAGCATAGGCAAGGTATTTAATCCCCTCTGAGTCAGAAAGGCCCAGCAAGTGATTTTGTCCTTAGTGCTGCGGTCAGGGAACAGAGGGAGGAGGATGTGCCAGTCTGTTACTGGATTCCCTAAGGGCAGCCAAAGAGACAAATAGCAGATGGTTAGAAACTAAATGATTGGGTATCTAAAGGTGATAGTAGATAATTAAATTCTTTGAATTGTTATAAAATATAGTTTTCCTAAGTACATCTCATTTTCTTAAGCTCCTTGCCACCACATAATATTTAATAAAAACAATTACTTTTGTTAAATAATTTGAGTTACACATATACTGAAGTATAGACAAGAGGTTACATGTAAACTGTATTCAGCCTAAAAGAATCCATGTATTCTGACATACAGAGGCTGAACTAATAAGAAGCCTGTGATTTGGTTTAGTGCCCCATAGGGCAGGTTTTATTGCTGTCGAGCAGGAATTAAAATTAAAAGTTTAACTGATCTCAATAGGCTTATTGTTCAGGTCTCTGTCTCCATGATCTGCGATCACCAGTGACTTGAAAGACTTCTGAGTACGAGACTACTGTTTTTGTTGTCGGCTCCTGCCGAGCACAACGTCTGAATTCACACGCTAAAATCAAACTTAGAAAACTACAAGTTTGCAACATTTGTTAGTAATCAGCAAAGCAGAATGAACTGAAAAAAGGTAAGATTACATTTGGTTGTGTGTTTTGTTTTTGTTTTTTTGCATAGAGCAATTCTGAGCACGTCTGCATAAAACCCACAACCAAATGTAATCTTACCTTTTTATGTTTTAACCAGATCCAAAGGATAATGATGAAGACTGTAGTCATGGCTAAAGATTTTGGAAATGGGAACACTGCCAGAATTAACTTTTTAATTTATCTGAATACAGGGTTTTGAAACTCGTGAAATCCTTGTGTATGTTCTTCATTTTTGCAGCTGCCAAATTCTTTTTACTCTGTTATTAATTAGGGTTTTGTATATTCAGTATTAATTGCATTTGATTTAAAAAAGTGGTCAAGGCACAAACAGGAAAATTCATGGATTTCTATCAACTAAAGTTCCACAGACTCGTTGCCTTTACTGTATGTGGACAAACCATTTTAACTTAGTCATCCTGCATTCTGAGCCAGGAAAAAACAGGCAATCCAATAGTTTTCCAAATAAAATAATGGAATGCTAATAGAATCGAGAAGACCTGATTGAATCGGTGACTAAAATAAACCGACCCTCTTTTGCCAATTTGGTGTCAGAATTAATATTCTCAGTGGTTAATACTTCTAAGTTAAACACAAAGCAATGTTGCAACTTAAAATTACATCTAAAGACTGTATGAGGCATGTGTGTTTTGTGCCGGACATGCTATGTGAGGAACAGTTTAATAGCACATTCAAATCAGACTCAGCATCTCAGTTGTTGCTTAAAACCTAAAACCATGAACAAGGCATTCTTGAGCAACCCTGATTACATTATAAACACTTTGTAAATACATCATGCACACATAAAAACACATTTCCATATGGACCAACAACTGTGTTGTGGTCGTGAATATAGAGCGCACTCCTTAGTTCATCTCTCATCCTTCTGCTCGTCTAACTGAGCGAGTAAATGAACAAGGAAATAAGAGTCCTACACCTGCATTGTTTTGTACGATTTCAAAAATCGCTGTACATATATAGCTGGTTATGTGTGTGTATCACCTTTTAACAATTGGTTTTCAGTGTTCTCTCTTTTCCAAATTTCAGGGGAAAAAAAAGACGTTTTTTTCTATCAGGTCCAGGTATGACTGAAAATTTTTATTTGTGTTGATAAAGCAATGCAGGTGTACCAATGCACAAGTAAAAAAAAAAAAAAGCACCTATCACAGCCTGTGGTTGAACTGGGCACAAGTAAACAAAACATTGTTAAGGAAATACTAGTGACTGTAAACAGAGTTGATCATTGTGGGTTAACAAAGTGAAAATCAGTTAGCTTTATTTCATGAATTATATGTCAGACATATCACACATGTGGTTATTGTGAGGTTAAAAAAAGGTCCATTGTGAAATCACAAATACAGTCAAGCTCATGTTATGATTCTTTGTTTTTATACTTCTGTAACCTTACAGAGTTATTCCTCTAACAGGGATATAGTGCTGAATCAAGCAAATAATATATATAAAACCCTGTTAGGCACATCTAACAGTGTGAGTGGCAAATGTGTCTGTCTAATTTGCGAGTGTACACTTTGTATTTCCCATCAAAACAAAACAGCCTGTCATCTGCCATCAACCACACAATTTGTTTTTGTCTATGACCAACAAAAAAAGGAAGCCAAAGCATCTCTATTAATCTTAACACAAATTCTAATATTACTATATTTACTACTAGATCAAACAGGCTATTACTACATAAGTATTAGATTTGTTGCCCTGACCTAATACCTCTATCATAATATCACAGTGTCTATAATGTTGCAAACCAATATTATGAATATTTTGAGTTGTAAGCAGACAGATGTATATGCTGGACTGTTTTATGTGCCATACATGGTCCATGATTTTGTAGCAATAGCTGAGCCTTACACACCATTTATTTGATGTGAATAACTCACTATACTCACTGTGCCCCCTGTGTAAGAGTTAAGTGTGGCTTTACTATTGTGACAGATGAACTATTTACTCAAGTAGGCCAAAGGCATAAATCTGCAAATATTCAAGCATAAAAAGTAGTAGCCATTAAAACAACAGATTTTAAGCCCTATACACTAAAACTCTTACTAGGAATCCTGGAGGCCCCATGGGCAAACTGTAGGAACCACAACTCTGTGTGCCTCATATTGTTTTTCCCGTTTAATTACAACCCTTCTGCCCGAAAGTGTTTTTAGTTTTAGCATGCATTTATTACGTTCACATTTTTAAACTACTTTACAAATTTTACAAGTTGTTTTTTTTTGGGTTTTTTTTACGAACTAAACACATGCTTGTCTGAAATTAAGAAATGTTCTGGCTGGAACAGGTTTGTCTATGTCCCTAACCGGAATCTAGGTCAATGTACGTGGATCCTTCAACAACAAAAAAAATTGAGTGCCAAAATTAAACATCCCTTTAGCTGTTATTTTGACTTGTTTTCCGCTCTTTCTATCCCTCACATTAAACTTTATAAAAGAAACAGGAAGAGTAGGCTACTAAAACTACGAGGCTAAAAGCCAAGGTGTATGTCAGCTACGTTGGCATGTACCTTTTTGGTTTTTAACAATTCCCCCAACATCATTTCTGTATATAAATATAGATATATATGTATATTTTCACCTTGAGAAACTTCCACTTGGTGTCCCCTCGCTACCTCCTGCCAGTAATGTAGCAGGCGGTCTGGATTTTCGTCTTCCTCCATGGTCTGGCCTTCTTCTTCGAGACTCCCATTGCCAGAGTCTTCGGGCTGGTCCTCCGAGAAAGACTCCAGGTCCTCCAGTGTGATCATCCCGTGTCGGTCGGGGCCGCTACCGTCTCCACTACTAGGACCGCCGCCACTCATCTGGCAGCCACCTCGGTCCATTTTTTTCTTTGTAAAATTGACTAGTACCTAATGAGATAACTGTCTCAAATTAATGGGCAAAAGAATAAATGCTTCAAAATCGTCCGGAACGACGATTTGCTCAAGCGCTAGTCTTCTTCCTTCTACGCGCCGCGTTGTTTTTGCTTGTCCAGATTAGGACAACCTTTACTTTATGGTCGACAAACCAGGCGCTGCTAAGCTTCACCCGATGCACATAGCCATGTTTGCATAGCTGACTTATATACGACTTAAACGACGCATTTTCTTTCACCGGGAGCACTTTGGAGCCGCTGAAAACAAAAAAGTCAACGTCGCTTTCGCTCGTGCGGAGCAGCGTGTCGCTTCCCTTGTCGTCGCCGGAGGTCAGCGCTATGTTTATAGAGATGAGGGCGGGCCGTAAAACCACGTGATCTGTGGGCTCCCACAACCCCCACCTCCTCTCCTCACACCCACCAAGACCCCCTACTCTTACATACCCCACCCAGCAGTTTACCTAGAAAGGTTTAGCTAAGGGCAGCATAAAAAAAAGCTTTTTATAGTAATTTTCAAGTTCGTTTGTAGCTATTATTTACTAATTAAACAATTAACCTTGGAGTCTCTATGTGAAGTAGCTATGTAATTAGGCTATGTATTTGTTGTTTGCTTGTCAAATAAGCTGCAAGCACTTTCCCCCCCTATTTTCAGTTAATTCTAAAATTGTTTTCTTACAGAGTTCTTTCTGTAATTTATCTTGTAGTCCCCCAAGGACATGGTCACAGCATGTAGCTTGATTGTGACTGACCATGACATCAATAATTTCAATTACAGTAATTGTATTAAAACAGAGCAAAGCCGGGAATTTTTTCATTTGAGAAGCTGACATTTTAACTGACCTTTTAGGAAGAGAAGATGCATTTCTAGCATACTGTTGTTCTTTTTATTTTTTATAAAATGTATTCCTTTCACTTTAAATTATACTTGTTCTCTTATTTCAGTTACATCTTGATTTGGTTACATTTTGGTTATTTTTTATGTACATATACATTTTTTTAGTTAAAACCTAAGTCTCCCCTTTTCTATTAATCAGTCAGAATAAATGCTTTCTAGATTGGTATTTAAAATGTTCTACTTGTGTAATAAACTTCCATTCACTGTCAGCTTAAAGGATCATATATTTTAATGTATTTTTCTGTCACAGTAACAGCTTTGCATTTCATTATTGTGTATTTTTTGCATCCAAATGCTTAAAGAAGTTGATGACATCCTTGACCTTAAGAACGCAATTTTTTGGCCTGCATTTACATCTTTGCCGTTCATTTAAAGCAAGCTATAAAACCTATAAAAGAGTGATAAAAATGTATTTTAAATAGTAATCAGTTCTTTTCTTTGCTAGATCTTTTTAATATTTTTTTTAATCTGTAGTCTTTCGACAGATTTTTTTTTTTATTCCCAGGCAGTGGATTATAAGCACACGCAAACTTGTGCGCTAGGGGACTGACTAGGCAGGATTTCCTCTGATCTGTGTCACTGCAACAGCCAGCCACCATGCTGCACCCTTCAACAGGCACGTAGAGAGGATATTATATAATCTACTATAGTTGGTGTGGGAGGGTCTGTGTAAATACACTGAAAGACACACCTACAATGCTCTACAAGGAGAGAGTGGGGGGGACCCGTGGCCCCTCCATGGCTGTGCCTTTCCACTTACACAATCACTAGTTTTGTCTTTTCCCTCTCTTCATTATAAGCCATCACAGACAGATATGGATTCACAACAGCAGCCTTGTAGCAGCAGTCGCCTCATCAGCTGTCACATGGTTAACCATACTGAAGTGTGTACTCTTCATTTAGCAGCTGGTTCTTTTCTCTTTAGACTTATTCAAAAGTGTCAGTGATACTAAGACAGTTTTACTATGCACACAAAAATACAGACACAGAACTCTTGACACACAGACACACAAATACATCATGAAGACCTCCTCGTTGTTTACATGACAAAGTGAGAGTTCAGTTTAGTATAAGTTATGTTATTAATAGCTGCCTATAGACAGACTTTGACCAATTCCTCACGTCACTTAGCTCCATGGCTCTCAACCAATCAGCTGCTGGAACCCACAGAGCATGCTCATTGAGATTGTCAACTACATTATTGTCAATTGGGCCAAGCTCTTTTTTGCTAGCACTAGATAAATCAAAGTGCAATGTCTACACCATCTTTATATTACTATCCTTTATTTCAGATAGCATTTGCCTTATGCTCAAGTTGCTAAATGTACATATGAAAATATATTTTAAGTTTGCATTCCCAGTTTCCACATTTAAATCAGAAAATGCAAATCAACACCTTAACCTTTAACTCCAAAGTAATTCTTTCGGCAAAGTAAATCACTGGATACCCTTGGAAACAAACTAGTGCTGACACTAATCATAAACTGAGGCCAGGATTTGCATTGATTTCTACACAAGAGGAGGTATAAATAATCAGACATATTACTTTCAGAGTAGACACTTTTCTTTCAGCACATTCTGTTATTTCACTTCACATTCCAGGCAGCCTAAAACAGTGACCTCACTAATCTGGTTCTGAGTAATCTCATAATCTGGACCTGACCGCTGTGTACACATTTCCACACTGAGCTCCACCTATCAGCCTACAAGCTGGTTGCTGCTAGCGGTCCTTTCTCTTGACATGTAAAATAATAAAAAAATATCTTATAAGTAAGAAAGGGACACACAGCAGCTACAGTAAGAGGTGCAGACACAACTTTGTTCTTCACTATCTTTACATCGATTGAAAATCAGTGGAATGTCATGAATGACTAGGATTGTTGTCGACACTAAATTTAATTGCAATCAATAAGTTGTTCAAGCATCTATGGTGGATGCATAGATGAAGTAAGAAAATTATCATACCTTCTAGTGATTCTAAAAAGTTCTGAGAAAAACATCTGCGCTTTTAGCTTCTGCATTGTCGGAAACCCAATGTTTTGTGTTCATCTGTCATTTTGCTCATCATCTTGCAGACGATATACTAATATATCACAGTAAATGGGGGAAAAAAGGGGAAAAGGCTGTAAAACTGTTTTTATCCCCAGAGTGTTTGTTCATATAAACAAGCAAATCCATCATTGGCTCCATCCTTGTCATATTGCAGGTAGATTTCATTGTAACCATTAATAGAAATGCCTACAGCATTTTTGCTGCCCATCTGTACTCAGTACTACATTGAACATTGAGTACTACCTGAACTGTGCAATTATATCTCCATCCAGCACCCATTTTGGAATTTTGATTTAGCTGTAACCACCTCACCTAATTGAGGTGGTTAATTGAGCTTAATAAGAAAAAAAATCCTGTGTGACATACATTTTGTGAAACTAATAAATATCTATCTATACATCCATCTATCTACACATCTATCTATCTATACATCTATACACACACACACATCTATACACACACACACACATCTATACACACACACACATCTATACACACACACATCTATACACACACACACACACACACATCTATACACACACACACATATTAATGCATATTAATCTCAGAGAAACAGGTTGTCGTTAAGGAGATATGGGGCATGGCCTCAGCTCAGTTCACTCATAAAGAGTAAATCTTCATTTCTGGTTCATTATCGCTTACAATACCCTTTATTTACTTTGTTAATTTTGATGCTTGAATGCCCTAAAAAAACAAGAAAAATTGCTTGCCATGTGTTATATAATTTTGTTTTTAGACACTAGTTGACTCCACCGGGTAACCTACTTTTTTCCAGGGTAATTTTGTTCCATTCACTTTGCAGAGTTGCTTTTCCACCCAGCTGAAATTGAAAATGTAATGACCCAGCCTCCCATTATCCACGGTCATGAGGATGAATAGATGTTGGTAAAATTGTCTCTTGGAAAAATCGCTTCAATCTGTTTTCCCATTATAAGAAAACAAGGACAGGGGAGATGAGAAACACTTCAATGCAATTTAGTGTTAAGAAGTCAGACTTTCATTTAGTCTGTGTGTGAGGCTGTTTATCAGTAGAACAAACATCTGTATGTTCCTGGATGTACCTTTCAGCTCGGGGTCACTAGGATGCAACTAGTCAGTGTTATGCATAATGCCCCCCTCAAAGAACAGGAAGTGGCCTACAATTGATCACCTATATATGTGTTTGCCTCCATTTGTCCAGGTGCTGGAGAAATTCATGTCTCGTCTGGTCCAGAACAGAGTGATGGGCCACAAGGATCTGCGGACTCTTACCAAATACCAGCTCATTCTTGCCAGGGATCAGTTCCGAAAGAATCCACCATCACACCTCAAGGCATGTAATGACTGTGTCCCATTGTGGTATCTACTGTCTGCTGTAATATGTAATTTTACACGATATGATACACAGGTTTTTACATCTACTAAGACCCATTTTAAGAAAATATGGGGCCTTGAAACTCGAGACATGTAGCCAGCTATTTAATGATTTAACTGTGAATGCATCTGTTGTTCTGAATATTATTTAATAATCAAGTCGCTAATCTTCATTTACAAGAATATGGAAAGAGGGTAGCCTGTGGTGATGCATTTATAGAGAATTATCCCCCTTGTCTCTACAGAGCTTTATCATGACTTTGTGCAGGACTTTGTGTTTATCTGTCTGGCTTGCAACTTTAATGCTACTTTGATTCACTGTCATTTCCTTTTCATAATGCTCCAGTAGGCAGCTGTTTCCAGTAAAAACACTGTACCAAAACAGGCATACGGGGGGAGTACCAAAGAAAAAAGCTAAGCACTTAGCAGATGCTAAGAGACAGATGTTCACTATTTCAAAAGATAGTGAACTTGGGCTTTTAATTACAAAACGAACAGAAACACAACTCCAGATAAAATTAAGTGCTGTTGTGTTGCAGATGCAAATAAGTGATTGATTGCACGGCAAAAGGTTCAGCATATATACTTCCAGTTGCTTACGGTTATTTAGAATAAGCCGGGGCTGAGGTGTGCTGGACGATAGTCTTTGGTTCAGTGGAGAAAGAAATCCATTATTCACTTTGTTAGTGGAACATTTTATATACTCCATTTTTGTTTAAAAAATGTTATTACTGCAGTTGAAGAAGTTATGGACAGTTTTATTTTTCATACTATTTTTCCGCACTTAATGGCCAAATATTATATTTATTTTCTTCCACTGTCACTCTGATCCCACATTGGTCTCGTGAAGTCACACAGCCTCTTTCACTCAGCAGGGTCCACAGCAGGGAATGCTGGAGGGCGACTTTGCCCTTTGCATCAGCCTGTACCATGGCTACGAGCTGCTAATGCAGATGGGCCTCCGATCTCTCTTCTTTTACATCCAAGGAATCATGGACGGATCCAGAGGTCAGTCACCTCAC